TGCACGCTTGACTTTTCTCAGTTCATGGGCAGTTATTTTGCACCTTGGTTATATATATATATGTGTGTGTGTGTATATATATATTTTACAATGTTTATTTATCGGATAAATTAACTTAAATGTCACTGTTATTATTGTTTAGATATTTATTTGTTTAGATTTACTCACGAACAAATAAAACACTGAGAAAAGCCAAACAATAATATTTTTAAGTTATCTAAGTGACTTATCATTTTTAACCAGAGTAGCGAAAGACCGCATTAATAATGGCTTATAAAGCATTTACAGATTAATTAAAAAAATATTGACATATGCAGTCATTTGTTTAACTGATGTGACAATGGAAATTAATTGTTGTTTAATGGAAAATTTGCTTGTGAAGCACAATTTTTTTAGGATTGCAAAAAATTTACTTTTAAATTATCATAGTTTTTGTGAAATGTGGTTTTCTTTTAAAGGTAAAGGAAAAATGCTGTTTTCAAGAAATTACTGTGTTAAACATTGTATGTTTGATAGTGAATATTTTAGAACATACAATAAATAAAACTCTACATTTCATGAAATCATAATGAAAGTGTTTATTGAATTAATACATCATAAGCAGACAATTTAACAGTTAGTTCATATTTTATGAACACTGCCAAAAAGTTCCAAAAGAATGTGTCTTATTCAGCACTTTCACCCTGAAAAAAATAATGAAAGGTAAAATTATTCAACGCATATTAACAGTAAGCAATTTATTGCGTGTTGTTTTTGTACAAGTATCTACACTCTCTACTCTCTTCAAATCAAAGCAAATTAATAATACAAAGCAAACAACATTCAACATTATATCAAACACTCATCTGATCAACATTAAATGTTGTGTAAACGAATTACATGAATTACCTTTCCAGCATCACGGCTCTTGGCTCTCAGTTTGTTGACCTGAGATTCAGCAATGTCAGCACGTTCCTGAGCTTCCTCCATCTCATGTTGGACCTTTCTCAGTCTGGACATGTGGGTGTTGGCCTGTTC